TCCTCAATTGAATATAAAAGTGCTCATTATCGCACTCAATAGCTGTAAACAAAATTAAATTTGAATAACCTTCATGCTTGCTGTAAGAAGAAAATGCCCCAGTTCTATTGAAGAGCATCAGTTTTTCTTCACACATTTTTCTTTTCCATTTTCCTGTCATTAAACAGCACAAAAAAAAATCACTTTAAATTCCTTCCGATCTCTTGAACAAAACTAATTTTCTTCCCTTATTTTGTAGCATTTACGCATAGAAAAATCAATAAAGGACCCCTAATCGTCTTATAAGATATTCTTCGCATGCATGAAACTCAACATGCACAGACTGAATATTTCATATCACATTCGTCTCCCCTGGCCTTTATTTACAAAGTTTTCTCTTGCTGAGCTGCTTGAGACTCTCATTTTGTGTATTTCTCATTCTCTTTTTAAGCTGCTTGCACATTTGCATTAATTTTGAGATTTTTACGTTCAATGAATTTATAATCGCCTCAACAAAATAAAGCTTGAGACTGAAGAGAGGAACTGAGACTGGCAGTTAATGTTGAGAAGAAACATGAGACGGAGAGTAAGAATGAAGTAATCAAAATAAACTGAATGAATGTAAATATTAAGTATTCAGACGAAACTATTAACAATGAAATGTGAAAGTAGGGAATTTTTCAGAATGAGTGATTAAAGCGCATTTTTTCTAAACTTAAAATTGTGAATTTGGCTAATTACTCGATTGTTTGCCGAGGCATAGCTCAACTAAACCGTAATGTAATGCATCTAAAATCCAGTGAGCTAGCAGCCCTTGCTACGATCTTACATAGTCACTTGCATTCAACAATATAAATCTGGCATTGAGCCTATGCTTTCTCGATTTCTCGATCTTGACCAATTCTCGAGATCGAGACTTCCCGGGATAGTCTCGGTCTGGACTTCGGTACCGGGAAAGCATAATTGAGCCTACAAGACAAAACAACCGCATTCCACTCCTTTCTCAAAATCGCAGCTAAAAATGAGAAGAAAAATAATTTCAATGATTTTTTTTCGCTGAGCTAAGGTTTGAGTATCACACAAAGCATCAAGAGCATCAACATCTCAATTTTTTTCACTAATCGCTTTAAAAGATTATCAAATGTGATTTAAATTTTCAATTACGCTGTGATATTTGATATAAAGTGTTTGTTACATTAAGTGCACTGTCGCCTGATTCACTTTATTTTATCATATCAAATTCAGCCTCAAGAATGAGCGCTCGATGGTAATAATATTGATATGATACTTGAGATGTTTTGATGATTAATAGTGATAACCAATGGATAATATGTGTATGCATAGAAATAAATCTGAATGAGGTGATTGATGATTTTGATGATTAAGTGCTGTAATATTGATTATTAGAACAAAAAATGTAGATTATGATGAAATGTGGAGTGTGTGGGACTGTGTTGATAATTATGTGTCATTATGTGATGTAAATATGAACAGAAGTATTACTTTATAATAAGGAATTGACGGCATGAATGATGAGCAGTTCAAGAGAAAATATAAGACATTTTATAAATTGATTGAATTCTTAAATTAAAGTCAACATTTGGATAGGTATGGATGGGAAAAGGGTTTAATTGGATCTGATGTCTTGAATTCAGTTGCCAGTTTCTGGTCGATACTCTTACTTTTTATTTAATTCATCAGTTTCGTACCACAAATACCCTTTAATATATAAATTAACAATAAATTCCTCCCAAACAATAATAAAGCACCTTCACATATATCTTATTCATCAGGATACAATTTCATTATAATTCTCTTATCTATAGCAACACCTACATTGTTTACGCCAGTTTACGCATAATTTTTTACATAATTGAAAACAGTATGAAAGTTATTAAATATGCATGTTACATCATGTAAGTAACCGAAAAACACAATCAAATTAATTCTTTCAGTTCTAATATTCAAACAAAGAAATATCTGCGTTGTTGTGTGCGAGTCTAATGATAGAACAGAAGTAATAAAAAATATTGAAAATATTTAATTAATGACTTATTCCTATAGATTATTCAAATACGACACAATATATGGCTGCATGTGATATTGAAATTGAAGGCATAAAAATTTAATTATTTTGCTATAAATTATGAATTGTGATTTGATGCTCAAAGAACCCAATTTATTGCTTTTGCGAACAACTAAATCACAATTAATTTTGTATTTAGGGTCATTATTTTGAGCGTTGTTTGTTGATTTTTGGTGAATTTAATGAGATATTGTGGGATGCTTAAAGCTTTGTACCAAATTTGATGTGTGGGTAATCTTTTTGGTAATCCCCCTCCTCCTTACGTCCCCTGATTGTATTACATCATTTAAAATAATTTGCTTAAATCTTAACCCTGCGGATTTGCCATTTCTTCACTACTACCATAGGCAAATGACCCAATTAAAAAAAAATCTCAAAATATCCTCTACGCATTTACAGTTCATTGAATATTTTGATAAAAAATTGCGAAACATTTTTGTCTTCCGAGTTCCTGAGCCGAATATTATCATCAGTCTATTTTTTTAGATAAGCACAGATTCAAAAAAATTTAATAACAAGTGAATGTCCGTCATTTATTACTCTGCTCTCTGTTTTAATATTAATATCTTAGAATTTATAGAAATGCTCTATTTTAAAATTGATATCCGGCCTGGTATCATAAATGACATTATCATAAATGACATTAAATATTGTTTTACGTAATAAGTAATTTAATAGCTTTAAATGTGTAGTTTAAAGAGTGATTCACATGATTAAAGTGTTGTCTTATATTCTTTTGCTAGAAGCAGTTTTCACTGAATTTCATGTACAGGATAAATTCTCGGGGGAATCATAAGCTGGTGATAATATCAACAATTATTGTTAAAGTTATTCTAATGCAGTTTGTTGTGCTTTGAATTATGCTGATCTTAAAGAGATGCATTTTAATACTTTTAATGAAGTTGAAACCCGAAAGGCACAAGTCGGATAATCGAGACAAAAATCAACGCTAGGACGACGTCAATTGACCCTTAAGTCCTCCCCGCATTGTCTTAGCCTAAGATTTCGTGTAGATTATCCGACTTGTGCTATTCCGGAAAGAGCTAAAGAATCGATTTTGATTAAGCTGATTTTGTGTTGTTTAAAATATTTTGAAGGTGGAGAGGTGACTCCTTGGGACTAGTTTCACAGAAGTACTCAAAAAACAGCATTTCAATGAAGATCACTCCCCAAAAAATTCAAATCACATGTCATTTCACTAGCAATTCTTATTTAAAGGTTAATGCGATGCAAACTTAATTTTATTTGGCAAAGAAAGTGATTTGTGGTCACTTCAACTTCACAAAATGCAATTTTTTAAAATGTCAAAATATAAATGTTGTTTTTATGTCCATAAATTGTTGAGGATTTTGTCATTTTAAGCAAGATTTAGTTGACAATATTAAATTTTATGTGGAACAAATTGATGAATGCTAAGTCTCAATTTCCTCAATCAAATTGCTTCATAAAATATCCATAAACATCTGAATATCATCAAAAAAATTGGAAAGTGCAAATTTAAAATTATTTTCAATATTTTAAAAAAATTACAAAACTCTCTTCACAACCCACAAAATTATATTCTGCTCATACAGCAACAATTGTTTCTCTATTCTCTCTCAAATGATAAAACAAACAGAAAATAATGCTGATAAAGCAATTCGACAAACAGGAATGAATATTGTAAAAACAACCAGATCAGTCTGCATATTGATTTGTTTTGTTTAAAGTCAATAAAATAACAAAAAAAATAAAGTTTTATTTTGTAAATATTTTGTTCACTTTCTCTTGTGCTTCCAACATGCATTAAACATTTTATTGGATTCCTGAACAAAGAACTTTGTGATCTATCGTAATTGTTCAATTGATTGGTAAATAGTTTGATTTTTATTGCTTTATTGAGGTTGTATTTTTTTGTTTTCAACTAGAGGAGTAGGAAAGTGGTTGGTTTGGTAACAGTGAATGTGAGTGGCCTTTGTGGGTTAGTAGATTATTGATTATGGCAACATCTCGATTGAGTTTGTAGGTTTTTGTCTTGGTTGTATGTTTAAGGAAAAACCAACCGAGTTGAATGGATTGTATATTGAAGAAGCATTCTAATTTAAATTGGGCATTCTTAGAATCAAAATCCTGAATCATTAGTTCATGTGGCTAACACCACTGCTTATTCCAGTTTCTCTTTCACTACTCTTTAATAACAAAGACTTTTATTCACAAGGAAGTCGATTAAAAACCTAATAAACCCCTACAATCTCATCCACCCACTCACAACACTTCCAATAGTTCCGCTCAATAGAAAACAATAAAACACACTAACGCAAAAAAATGCAAAACAGCTGTAAAATTGAACCAGTTATTCACATTTACTCAATAGGAAGTTTCATTTCTGTTTTCATTGTCATTTGACATTGAAAATAAAACTTTTTGTTTTGCTGCTTTAAGAAGAAAAAGTTCTTTGTTTTCGTGCCTTCTAGTGTTACATAAAATACATGGAAGCAGAACATAAGAGGTGTAGATGAATAGGCAGAAACACTTTAATTATTATTCACAAAATTGCTCACAAAATGCTTTAATTTTGGAAACTTTAGAAGTTTTGTGACTGAAAATAATTAATTTGGCTGATAAAAATTCACTTCCAACTGAGCAAATAAGATCAGTACAAAAATTATTTGCCATTATTTCCAAGTTTAAGGCTTCATTCCAAGGTTTTCATCTTTTTTCATTCTGACACAATTTACGTCTCGCGTCTACAAACGTGATTCGATCTTGAAGATCAAGTTTAAAGACATTAAGGTGAGAGCTAATGTTCATAAATCTGTCAATTGAGAATTAAGTGTTGATTGCTCTCTGTTAAGTCATTGAATTTCATAATTATTACATAACATTCCATAGAATTTAATGCATGTATGTAGTTTCTTGTGCTTGTAGCTTGTCATTGTAAGTGCTCCCATGTTTATCGATGTATTTTTCAATGAATGAAATAGAAAATAGGTTGTTGGTTATCAGTAAATGCATTGAATGCCACGGACATGACAAATATTTAGCAATTAGGAGTTTGAAGTATTTAACAGTTATTTGGATGTTTGTTCCTTACTTCCTCTATTAGTATCAAAATTATTTAATGCAAAATCAATCTCTAGGTCCAGTTGGAACCTGTCTGACCATCTTAGCCATACTCAAAGCATAAATCACCTAAAGTCTCAACTTTGTCGAATTATCCAAGGAAGAATTCCAAAATTTCATATCCAATAAGTTCATAAAATGTTGGCTATACTTCTGCTATGATAAAATTCAGCCAAACTTACAAATCACAAACATTTGCACTTCTGTCGGTAAATAAACCTATTATATCCATGTTAGATATACAAGCGCCAATGCAACAATGTCAATATCATTTTTTAATGCACACATTTTCATAGAAAAATAGTCACTATTGCTATAAAAAGTTTTGCATTTTGCTTCAATGTTAATTTTATTTCATTTTTTGTTGCATTTTCAACGCTGATTGGAATTATTTAATGAATTATTGAATTAAATATTACGATTCATAAATAGGTGCATTTATATTTAGGTTACCATACCAATTTTGTTATTTACTTTAATGTAATATAAACACACATGTGGAATGCACTAGTTCTGTTACGCAATTGAAATTCTTATTTAATCACTAAATGTGATAGAATATCTTCTCTGGTTTCGGTTGTGATTAGGTGAAGTTGATGATTTATTGATGTAAACAATTTAATGTCAATAATTTTTGATGTTGGCATAGTTCGATAGAATTTAGGCTTTAAATTGCGTTGTTGGTTATTGACTGATCAGATTGAAATATTGAATTTTATTATCTGTGTTGTTTTTAACCTTTATTAGTACCTATTTTTCCGAATACCAAAAGCCGGTTAATCAAATAGAAATCTGGCATCAAGCTAATGTTATTCTAGCATGGTGCTGGAATCAAATCGAATTTACAAGAAAAGGTTCGAATCTCACCTGATGATGACTCTTAAACCCTAATAATGTTAATAAAATGAAAACCAATCCCAACAAGTGTTACAACCGTCCAGTATATCCTAGCAATAATCTTCTTCAAATCCATGTCATTGCAAGCAATAAAATAAATGTCAATAAAATTTACCAAATCTGTAAAATTATTCATACAATTTAATTGCTGAAAATTACACCGTAAATTCTCAGATTTCATCACATTTTGTACTGATTAATTGCATAGCTATCAGTCATTAAATCCAATAATGGTCATGATTATTGCACATCAAGTGATAAAACGATTACATCTGCAGTAACTGACAATGACACCTTCATTGGAATTTTTTAATAAATTTTATTGTTTTTATTGCCCACAAAGTTAATTTTTTTCTGTTTTTGGAGTTACTTAAGCTGTAAAATGAGGGAGAAACCCGAGAGATCCTATAAGGATAAGGCGATCAGTGACTTTTAAGGTAGTTAAACTTATAAGCTGTCGTCTTATTTGAGATTCTTAAAGCTTGAGACTGATGAGTAGGTCAGTACAGGAGCGATGCTAGGTAATTTTGATCATCATCAGCAAATATCGTCAATTTAGAGGTCATGTCACTGTCATTGCTTGTCTCCGTTACTCAAAGTCCATCTTTAAGTCATTTTTTCTCAAGCATTTCATAAAAATCCAGCTTAAGTTCGACATGATCAAGCTACAGTCGCTGTTTTGTACGAATCTATTTCCACTAGGTGTTTCGAAGACGTAAGTGCATGTGATTCATACTATTTCATTACCACACCAAGTTCACTTTAATTTGCTATCAGCAACAATGCAAATACGATAAAATATTAGATTTTTTTATTGATTTCTTTTGGACTTTGTGAGTTGCTCGTAAAAATTATTATCACTCTACCCAAATTTGGTAAGCCAATGTCTCATTTTATTCTAAATGATCTTTTAAAATATTTGAATGTCAACCTCACCGTCCTCACGGTCATAATCGAATAAACCAAATGAAAAATTATCAAAAATCAAAAATTTCCCTCAACGATCGCCAAAAAAACCTTCAAGAACTTCAGTTTCTCTCGATCATATCCACATGATGTAAGCGCTCTCAACTCAGATTGTAAAACGTAAATACAATGTTGTTATCTGCTGCATATGAGTCTCTCATTCTCTATTTTTCTCTTCTCCAACTGACTGATCGCATTTCGACAACAAAAAAAAAATCCAAAACAATACGAAAAAATAATAATTTTTTTCTTTACTTCACATATTCCAGTCGATCATGATTAACGGTTGTGGCAAGTTGTAAAGCTACAATTTTTCGTGTATTTTTAATTTTCGCAGTTCAGTTCTGTTTTGTTTTTTTTTGCCTCTGCAGAAAGTTATAAAATTATTGTTTACACTGGTTTACACGTTTTTAAGTGCAATTTTTAAATGTGAAGTAGCATGTAGCAATTTATTTGCATGTAGTTCATATGATATTGTATTTTTCGGAAGTGCGAATTACACTGGAATATTAATAAATGATTAAAATTATCATTAGAGCATTGCGAATCAACAGATCGTCTGCTGATAGTGAAAGTGAGGATTTAGAATCATTTTTTGGATGTAAACATTTGAACCGGTTGTGTTATTGCGTTGTTTGTAGAATGGGCAAAACTTGTTAGTTGATCAGCTGAATGTTTGAGTTGATTTGATAATAAATTGAAGTGAGAAGTTGGGAAGTGAATGATTTTAATATAAGATATGATCAGAATTTCATAGTGACTAGGGTAGGGTAGCTAGAGTTGTCCTTAGAACCAGTCATTGAACTTAAAATAATGATTGATTTAGACTCAACTTTGACATTTAACTAAGCTGACATCTAGACACCTAAGACAAGTCAGTTCGTCTGGGTAATCATACCAAATCTACAAAAACTTTGATTTCTAGTCTTAACAAAAATTTCGAGTCTTAAACTTTGTAATTTAATTTAAATCAATTCAAATTCAATCGAAAATGAATTAAACCATTCACAAAATGACTTTCTCGCTTCATAATTTACATAATATTTTGCTGAATGTCTGTTTAATTGCGTGGTTGCCTCAACTAAAGTTTGCACACATCTTTAAATTCAATTTTACTTCTCAATCAGCAAAAACTAAATTTTCGTTTCTGTCAAGTCTTTAAAAAATATTAAATCTTTTTGAAAATAAATTATTTATGACAAAAATTACCTTTTAGAATAAACGAGTTTAACAAAAAAAAAGTCCACACAAATACAGCGTTATAGAACCAACTAGCAACTTGCCAACATTTGCAAACATTTCCTTCTCTCTATTACTGAACATTTGAAGGTTACATAAGAGACATTAATCGACAAAGAAAGTATTTATTTCGCGCAATTTATTCATTTATTATTGGCGAGCCCACCAAAAGAGAAGTCGACTTGAGATTGCGAATCAAAAAAGCGAGCAAAGAGAAAATTTATTAACAGTTAAGACTGACAACAAAAAAGCTCAAAAATGGATGCACGATTCATTAATATTTTGATACTTGGCTTCGGCTTCATGTAAGTACTGTCGAATTCTAATTCTTAAGAAGTGTTGTTGACCGCGTAAAATTTTTGTCTTTGTGTTCTTTTTACTTTAGGTTTTTATTTACCGCATTCCAAACGATGGGAAATATAGAGGTGAGTAAGAGAAATAAAATATTGAGTTGTTGTGGATATAAAATTAATGAGAGCGGCTTTGTGGATTGAGAGAAGTTGATGAGCGTGTTTTGCAATGTGGGAATATTTATTTTGATAAACACAAGTGTCTGGGAATGCAAATGAGTTAAAGTATTTTAATTTAAATACCATGACATCAAGAATTCTTGATTTTGTGGATATGAGTTCATTTATTAGGAAGGCTTGAGCTGTTCAAACAAATAATATTGACTGCAAAATGTAGAAGAACTAAATTGACCATCTTAAAATTCATCATGTACCCTTAAAAACTTTAAAACCATGTCACCTATCCCAAGAATGCTAATTTCCACCAAAAAAAAAAAATAAAATCAGGTTAAGAAGTGAAACTTTCAGTTTGAGATAAAAATAAACACCAGAGTCCAATATTTGCAAAATTAACATGTATATGGAATTGCTTTGAGAGATTTGCAGACTTTTCGGTGCTGCACACAATCTTTTATTTGTAAGCTAAGCTGTAAAACCGCCATAAAAATGATGTCGAAGATTTAAAAGATATTTTACAATAAAAAGATTAGTGAGGTTATGTATGATAATGACTTACTTTTATCGCAATTGAGTGTGCTGACCATGAAATTTTATGAGAAAGTGAAATCATAAACATTGAAGAAGAAATTTCAAGGGCAAAATGTAAATAAAAAAAATATTTTTTAAAAGGTAATGCAGCCTGCAGACAATTTATTCATTTACTTATTGCAGACAGTTAGCGAGTCTTATGAAATTTTTTACAATTAATTATGCAAAAAATTCACTGTCTTTAAGAGTTGGAAGACTTTGGCATTGAGAGATTTTTGGATCACTTTAATGTCAGTATCTTCAACATTTACACTAAAGTAAAGTTTTTAAAGTCACAGCTTTGCTGGAATCTTAGATAAAATAACAAACTACAACATTTTTACTTGATTCTAATTCAAACTTTTCCTTCGACTTGATCATGTTAAGCAACCTATCAGAAAAACCCAAAGCATTGAAAATGGCAATAAAAAAATTACGTAATTTAGTTCGATTATTGCGCCAGAATCTATAAATTGATTTCATTTCTAAACAAGCTTTTATTTACTTACGATATGATGAACTTAATTGAATTACTGCTCTAGTTTTAAGTGCTTGGTGCATGCTTCAGATGCACATAATAATGTGTTATCAAACTGATATGACGTTGAATTTTTTTTGCTGTGAAGTTGTTGAGCTTTGAGGCTTTTATAAGTTATTTTGGATCATTTTTAAGATTTGAGAGTTTTTTACAGGCATAAAACCTTCGAGATACACTCCATATTGTCTATATAATTATCTCAGCTATTGCAAAACCATCCTCTAATTCTGACAATCACGACAAAAAATATTTAAATTTAATTCACAAATTTTGTGCATGAGAATTTTGATTTTTTCAATTTCTGCAACAAAATAAACTCTGAGTGCAATTTTAAAAATTAAGCCATTCTTTTTTTCGTTAAATTTACACTGCTGATTGCATTACGATAACCTTGAGGTAATTAAAATATTAAATGTAAAATGGAAAGTGAATTTTATTTCTTCACTGAAATTCTTTTTAATGCAGTTCAGATACAATGTGTACAGCAAGCAATAGCAATTAATGCACATAAAAAAGAGGCTCGTTCTCTGAATGAAAATGAATTGTTTTTTACTCTGTTCTGTTAATGAAATTGCCGGTTATAAAATAAAATTAAAAAAATATGCAAAATATTCTTTTGGAGTGCGTTAAACAATTTTTTGCTGTTGATACAATAAAATTTTTTTGGATATGAATTGCCTGTCTCTATTATTATATTATATAATCTCTCTATTAATGCCTAATTTTGCAAAAAAAAATTAAAGAAATTTTTTAATGAGTGTTGCAGATCTAAGGGTTTTAAGCCATATGTACAGTGACTAAATGAATAAATTGACTTTTATCAATTAAATAGCTAGTAGTGATGAGTGAGAATGAGCCTTAATTTTATAGTTTGAACTAAACTTAAAATAATTTCATTATACATAAAAATAATGGACGGAAAGCTTCCAATCAAATTGGCATTACTCATTAAAAATTACTTCCAACTGGACACTTCGAGAGATATACATAAAACATAATAAACTGATACGAACAATTCAAGAGTTTTGACCGTTACAGTTTCCAAGAAAACTTGTGAAAATGTCTTATTTGTCTGTCTGCCAATCAAAATTCGAAGTTTCATACCCTGCAGTTCGAAATTTTCGAAATTTACAAAAAAAATAAAACCTAAATTAAACAAGTTTTGTATGAAATCTAGATGAAACTTTTTTTGGTCGTTTAATGGTAAGCATAACTTAGCTTTATCTTTTTTAAAACAATCAAAAACTCCAATAAAATCACTAAAATTGTAACGTTTTTTTCAAATTTAAACTTTTCGAACGTGCATATTATAACTCCCCTAGACTTTCGATAAGTCTGTCGAACATGAATTGTTCGTATCAGATAATAAAATGAATTGGAATTATGTAAATTAATATTTACACAACAGTTTTGAATGTCAGCTATAAATTAAGATCTTTTAAATTTATTTTGTCATGACTTTGATTTTTCATTCAAACTTTGATTTTTCTATTGCAAAAAATTTCTTTAATTCACATTCTATTTTTTGCTATTTAATAAAATTAAATTTATGTTTTGAAAAACTTATTTTGTAAAATTTACGAAGGCAAAAACAATTTAAACTTAATTTATTTTCTAAGATTAGTGAAGCTTAATGTCAAGCAATTTTAAAAAGCCAAGCCTTTTTCTAGTCAAAATGTTTTGACTTTCTTTTGTTGATTAATAAATTGCAACTACAAAAACATTGATTGTCATGTCCGAAATAGCCATGAAGATAAGAATTATCATTTTGTGAACTTTCAATTTTTTTATTGCCATTTTATTTTTTAATCTTGATAATTTCGTAATAAATTTCTAGAAATTGCCTTTTTTCTGTGAGGATTAAAACTTTATTTTTATGTGTTATTCGGATTTTCTTGGCTTTTTGATGGCTATTTAAGATTTTTTTTGTGTGGATGATGATGAGCTATAAATTACAAGAAATTGAGGAGGTGTGAGGACTTAAATGTTAAGGTTTTTTTTTTGATTTGTTTGATTTCGAAACTTTCTTTATTGTTATTGCAATGATAATTTTCAAGAGCTTTAAAAATTCTTCTGATTATTTTAAATTTAAATTTTAAAAATTATTGAAATAATTTAAAATTGCTTGTTTATGGCTTTTGATCAAATATTTTGAAGGTTTATTGGAAAAACCTTTCAAGTTTAATTGAAAATTTGGTTCAATAACTTTTAAAACAATTAAACAAAAAATGTGTGAATTAACATGATCACCGCATCAATTGCAATCAAATCGACAAGGTTTCATACCTTTAAAATATGAAATTGTTCATTAAATGTTGTAAATTGACAGATTTACTAGTTCAAAAGATTTTAAAATATCTTTTAATTTCGTTTATTCTTAAATTAAAACTTTTTAATATCAAAATTCCTCTCAAATTAAATATTCATAAGAAATGTAATCAATTTTGTAAAGAATTCAAATTTCTATTTAAAGTGCGTAAATACAAATTGAGGAAAGAAGGAGGTTTCATCTTTAAACTGTTCTTATTAAATAGTCCATTGTTGTTGACTTTAATTGCTTAGATACGTGCTTAGATTTATTTAAACAGTTGATCCTTTAAATCCAGTCTTAAAGCTCTGCCTCATTCCAGCAATTAAAATAACTTAGTCATCGTTTTACATTTTTAAGCTTCCAAAATTAATTTCATTAACATTTTTTTTTATTTTAAAATTCAATTAAGAAATTTTTTAATCCATTTTTGCAAATCTCTCGAGAAATTATTTAATTTAATTATCCCTTCCAAGAAAAAAAAATATCCATCAGAAAAATTATTTTTGTGTAGTTGACAACCAGCATAATCAGTTGTATCCTCCTTCTGTCTTTATCTTGTTGAGGTGATGATTTCGAAAAAATATAAAACATTTTTCGTTCCCTTTCATTCATTAATTTCCATTCTAATTCTGAAATGACACACGCATACCCTCATCATCGTCAGTCTTTTGCTCATATAATGCTAAGGAATAAAATTGTTTTGTTTTGTGTATTTTGAGAAGAAGAGAGAAAAAACAATGATGGAGGGAAATGTTATACAATGTTGTGCTTAAATGGCTGATGGATTCATGGCAACTGAAATGAAAACGGCAAAAAAAAGTTGAAGAAACTTTTATTTTTGTTTTTGAGAGCCTTATGGAGTAGAAATTATTTGTTTGTTGATTGCTTGGACTTAAAGATTTTTGGCGCATTATTTGATTAGTTTGACGAAGGGCTCAGACTTTAACTTAAGTTTGAAAAAGGTCAAGTAAGGCAAGATGGAGGAAGTGGTCAATCTGTGTAGACTGCAATTTCATGAATATTGGCCAGATTTATTTAAATACTTAATGCATTAATGGAAGAACTAGTTTAAAGTGGGATTCGAACATAAGATTTTACAAAATTAGGGGGACAGCTTCATTGTCTATGACCTTACCACATGATTAAAGCCGCCTTACTCTGATTACATAAAACCACAATTACTTTCCAGAAGAATCTTAGATGTCAGTTTTAATATGAATCATGAATAAATGACCTGTAAGAATCTTCAAATCAAACTTAAATCTACAAACCGCATCATCCCTATTACCCGATCATCCCTAAAAAGCAGCTCGAAAGATTGTATACATAAAGCGAAAATAGAATAAGAAGTATCCGTTGTACGTGTTTTGAATTTATATTCTCGTATCAATTATTTCATGTCAGACTCACATAATTACCATCATCAAGCGCCCTCGTGGCCTCTCTACACGTTCAAATTTTAACTTTCACATCCACCCCAAGAAACCTTTAGCATACATCCACATCTACATTTTCCATCAACTCCAAGTCTTATCATTCCATTCTATGACTTTTTTCATGCATCTGTCTCTCTCACTCTCTTTGGTGCCACTATCTTCATCTACATGGAAATAATTTGCTTCAATTTGTAAAACGTGTGAAGGAAATTTATGAGACGTCTTTTTTTCCTACACTCAAACAGCCACAATAAGACGATGGCAGAGTGAACAAGAGAAACGGAAGTGAACTTTAAAAAGGAAAATTAGATTGTGAAACTTTAAAGTTGACAGGTGCTACTTACATAATTAACTACTCATCATGTCTTTACACTTTAATCTTGTTAAGATGGTGGAGAAGTAAAAAGCTTCAGTCCTTACTTTACACGATATAGTTATGTACAACTATTGATGTCGGTGTTCTTGTTTGAACATTTGTGGTATGACATGTCATTAATGTATTTTGCACCTGTAAAATGTTGTCGTTTGTAGATTTTTTTTGTGTTCGCTGCAAAGTGCTGTTTTATAGTTTTTTTTCATTTATTCTTTTTCTATGTGTTTATTTTAAGATTTTCACTAGGAAAATGATGGGATGAAGATTAGAGGTTAGGTTCTGTGGTTTCTATGAAATAATTAGGTTTATGGACGATGGTCGTTATTGAAGCGTGGCATATTTTTAGTAGATTCCATCTAAAGCTGACTTTATGATTGGTTTGAGTAAAACCAATCAAATTGTAAATCCATCGTGAGCTTTGTTTTAGTGGTAGTTTCTGTCCTCGATATGAGGAATTAAATGTTCTAGCAATTGTAATGTATCACAGCCATGACACGGCTCTAGCTTCAAATAGTAAATGAATAAAACAATAATAGTAATAATAGTGGCGAAGCAAAAGCTTCTTTGCCTTGCCAGAGATTTTTTCAAAGAGTTTTTTAATCCTTTACGGACCGCAGTTTACAAAGGTGGATTTAAAATATTATAGCTTCGACTTGCAATAATATCTCAATCAATAAGTTTTGTTGAGTTTGATAATTGGATATACAAATTTTTCAATAAACATTTAAATTGAGTGCAAATTTCTGAGAATTTAGGTTAAATGCAATTTTAATTGTCAAATAAACATTTTAAATTTCTCTTGAATTTACAGAGTAAATTTATTATTTAAATATTGACTCACATTTATATTTTGTCTATACAATTTTATTTGCTTGTAATCATTATTTAATGTGTGGTGATATAAAGTTTTGGGGCTGTTTTAACACAATAACTTGTTGTGGCTTACATATTGCTGCTGTACGCTTATGTTTCAGCAAGAATAAAGAGTGATATTATAAGATAGATTGAGCATTAGATCAAAAACTAGTGACTCCAAAGCTTAACACCCCCAAGAAATTAAATCCACATCTACACAAAAATAAAATCATGTCAATAAGGCCAATAAAGAATAAACCAGAGGGCGAAGTCGACTCGAATTTTGTATGGAAAAGTCGACTTGAGTTCACTCGACTTCATACAAATTTCGAGTCGACTTCGCCCTCTGGAATAAACTAATAGATTGAGTATCTGTAAAAGCCAATAGAATCAAAATGAGCTGCTAATTGATGATAACCCAATTTAATTATCGCCATCAATAAGCCTTTTCTTTTTCATCAAAAATACCATCATGTAAAAGCGTACAGCACATGTTTAGAACAATTAAGTTCATCGATCTTTGTGTAGATAAATCTGTGCATGTGGATGTGGGTGTTAGTGTAAATTATATCATCACAATGGAATACTAATGAGGGAATTATGTTATATGTATGATGAATATATTCAGTGCATGAGCAACTCCAACTCCTCCATCCTTTTCAAACAATAATTCTTACTTTTACTCGTTATCTATCATGCGTACGGATGATTAGTATGAAAGGTCTGTTGTTTTGTAAATAAAATTTTAATTAAGCTCTTTATTATTTTTTTGCAAAATTATGTTCTGGCATAAAAATATAATATAAGCCATGTATTATAGTCTGCAAGTGAGTATTAAGTTAATTGTGCGTGATGGTATTGACATTGACAGAATTAGTCATATTAATCTGAATGATACAATCGGTAGGGGTAAAATGCTTTTGTTTTATTTGGGTTTAAAACATTTTGTTAGCACTTTTTGAGAAAATGCGTTGGGGATGTTTGGGGAGTGTCAGAATGGAGCTGATTGATATATTTTAATGGAAGCTTCTTAAGCATTTAAATTAACTTTTTGGATTGTTCCGTTAAGTGAGCTTAATTGCCCTAATTCAGGAACAATAAGCATCTCTAGATTTTACACTTGAATACCCATTAGAGTTGAGCATAAGTAGACCCTAAAAAACCAATTTGAATCAGCACGATGCGCATTACTCACTCAATTCAATTTCAACCAAGAATCCCCACCAAACTCATCGTCATCATCATCATGACGATAATTATGATTATGTTGATGGAAATTTCAAAAATTGGCAAACAAAAAATATAAAAAAAATTTAAAAAAACAATGGGACAAAAATCGATAGGCATAAAAAAAGTCTACTGGTGGGAAATCTGCCACCCTTAGTCGTCAAGAATGCTGGATGGAGGATAGCAACAAAAAAAATTTAATTCAACTTTTTTCATAAAAATTTATTTCCGTCCATTAAAATTTCAAATTTGAATTTTTCTTCCTCAATTTTTTTCGACTCTCATTTTATTTCCATAGAATTAAAAAAAAATTTTATTGCAATTGCTTGGGAAAATGACAGTTGTCACTTCCACATCGTTCATGTCATGTAAATGCGAGTGAGTTAATCCGATAATTTTCAATACATCACGGAATTATATTTCGGGCATATAAAACATTTTATCCGTTCATTCAGTCATGTACTTTTTTTTTAAATAATAAAACGCAATTTATAGCTCCCGAGTGTCTCGCATTTTATGATGATGACGTCCCTTACATGTCCATGTTATATTTTTCCAGCTTCAGTCAGCGCTTTTTTGTATGCGTTTTTCACGGATGTGGCAAGTTAATGGGATGAAAATGAAGTTTGTTGTGGATGTGTCTGAGTTTCTGGTTTTAAAAATTTGAGGTCGTTTTGGAACTTTGTGAGGGTTAAGGGTCCTGTGATGCTTAACATTCAATTCTTTACCCGAAAAAAAAAGTATCAGAAACCTACTTGTAAGTTTGATTCGAGTCATCAGTGGGGTGAAGGGGGGGGGGGGGGTCCTAAAAGCTTTGAGATTTAAAATATTGCATTGGTTTATTTTAGTAGATCGCATTCATGAATGCCTTTTTACTGCCTTTCAAACCTCAGCTTCACTGTTCCCACCACCTCAAAAATTCTCATTTATAACTTTATCCTAAACATCTCCCACTGAAATCCAAACGTGAATATTCATTTTATATTCTTTCAAATAATAAAAAAATGTCATCCCTTAAATGTTTAATTGCTTCATTTGCCGATACATCCGATCCACAACTCACATGTAAAAAAAAATATTGTTAATGTTTTTTATTTTCCAGAAAACCGTTCTTGATAGTATAACTGCCGATGACCCAAATTTCACTGGCGATGGATACATCAGTCTTGCGATAATTTATGCCGTATTTGCAATATGCAATTGGATAGCACCACCAGTCATTTCACTTACCGGACCGAGGTGTGCCATGTTGATTGGCGCAGTGGCTTATTGGTAAATCAATTAGTTTATTCCTAGCTGTATTAAAAGATATTTCTCGCATGATAAATGTAATTATTGCTTCTTGTGTTATTTACAGTGGATTCATGGTATCATTCCTATGGCCTCAAACATGGCTACTCTATACGGCTAGCGCTTTTCTTGGTGTGGGTGCAGCTATCATTTGGACAGCACAAGGCGCATTCTTATCACGTTGTAGTGATGAGACAACAATATCGAGAAATTCAGGCATTTTTTGGGCGATGCTTCAAATGAGGTGAGTTATGGAATTTGAGTTGATTGGCGATGTTAAGTGAATTGATTTGAATGATGGAATTGTTGGCATAAATACTTGTTGGTTTGACTCCATGTCTGCAAAATATGCAAACAACCATCCAAATCAGATCATTTAGCATCTGAAAAAATTAACCCGTTAACATTATTTAATTTCACAAATCCATCTCAACTCCACAGCATGTTCTTCGGAAATTTATTTGTGTACTTCCAATTCCAAGGAAAAAGTCACATCGATGAAGCGACACGGACTCTCGTATTTTCAGTATTGATTGGTGTCGGTATTTTAGGTTTCATTTTCTTAACAGCATTACGTCCCGTACATGATATGAGCGTACGACATGCCAGCGATATTGAAACAGATGATGAATTAGAAACAACGTCAAGCACCGTTGTTGTTGCCTTCAAAAATTCAGTAAATTTATTTTTCACAAAGGAAATGCTCCTGTTGGGCTTAACATTCTTTTACACGGGTAAGTTTGATACTTTTTTTATGACCGATAAAGTTGGAAAAATATTGACGTAGACCGATGTCATAATACTGACATTTACATGCTGCTTTCTAGCTACACTCGCGAATGCATAATTTAATGAAAATGCGAGAAAGTAATTTCCATAAACGGATTATGTATATTTGCAAACACATCTACATAGCGAATATGTCATTTATTTTCAATATGCCAATCGACACTTTGAACGATAATATTCTGACTTTCGAGTTGACCTTTTCTTCCATGACTTCCATATTCATATTTTTTTCTTTGTCATGATGTGGTAAATGTGTGAATATTTTTATTATTATGGGGTCAAGGATGGTTACGATTGCACTTGTATTTAAATCGTTTAATGAAGCCTGTTATGGGAGCAAAACTTGTTCTTTTTCTACGTTAATGAGACGCGACTGTGATAAAAAATAAGTTGTTTGGTATAGGGTGGGGTAAAAAGAGTATAGAGCGCCGAATTTGACTTTTCAGGTACTGACTTTGACTTTCAAAAAATTATTTGGAAGACATTTGGTGACACTAAGTGCATTTATGCTAGAGATTAGTTGAAATTTACTTCCTTGCCTGGCTGGGTGCTTGTTGGCTCATTGCCACGCTAAGCAGATGTCTAAAGACAGCACAATCCTTTGAGTCTTCTGAAATTTCAGGATATTAAGGACACCAAGTCCTTTTAAATTCAGGGTTGCAACACAGGAACCTGAGCTCAGGTGAGAATCGTACAATTCCTTGATAATTTGTAAGGTTTTATTAGAATTTGTATGGTTTTATTAGAAAAACCTTATAAATTATCAAGAAATTGTACGGTTCTCACTTGTGCAGAGGTGCCTGTATCGCAACCCTGCTTTAAAAACCTTCAATCCAGGATACTAGCTTTTAATTAATAAAATTCGACTATATTGACACTCAAATCAACAAAAATTACCATTTACCACAAACTCGCTCACAAACATAAGTAAGGACCTAATTAATTATTTAATCAGTTGCGGAGACTTTATTTATAATGCTTATCAGGAAAAAATCGTTCAGTCAGTCAACTGGTAATTTAATAATAATATTATTATAAGACTTTATCAAAAACAAAAGAACATTCACAGAAATTTACATTTCATTTACATACAAATGTGTGTGCAATTGTTGTTTATTATTTTAATGTTGTAGTATTTTGCACGTAAATCTGTCATAATAAGCAATTATCATTAAAGTACAAATATGCATAGATAGATGAAAAGTCCGTCCTGAACATTTTTGCTATCGATTTTATGGAAATTGTGAATTTTCTCCATGAAAATGTAGTTAATTATCCTAATAGGTATTTTAAAGAGACACACATTACATATTTGTCACTGGAGGTGCCTATTTGTTTATTTATGTACTTTATGTTTCTCATTATGAAAATAGTTTGAAGCATTTGCAACATTGTAAAGTGGAATTAAAGCTCATTGAATTTATTTCTGTACAATTTGAACGCTGTTGAATAATTATGAATGTAATTCTAGGGAAATTTTTATTGATTGAAGGCACTGAACGCATTTTAATGTTTGTTCTCATTGACATTTTCAAGCAGATTATTTTTTAGTGGGTTCTCTGTTGTAATTAATGCAGTTCTGACGGTTTTGATTTTATTTTGAGAATTTTGTAAAGCTTATTGATCAGTCACTAAGAATTCTTATGATTGGACCTCTCCGATTATGTTAAAGAATAAAGAGGAGGGGAAGGGGGGGGGGGGGTCGTTTCTGAAATTTTTTTTTATTAAATTGAGAACATCCTGAAGTGTTATTTGATCAAGATTGAATGGGTATAAGAGAGGGGGGTTAAGTCTGCGGAACTGATAAACTTATTTTGATCATTTTTGATTTATTCATCATTTTTGCAGCCTTGACCCCCCTCTCTTATATTCATTCAATCTTGATCTAATCAGACTTCAAAATGTTCTCAATTTAAAGGGAAAAACATCAGAAATTACCCCCCTCCCTCCCTCTCCCCCTTTACTCTATAATATAATAAACCTTTCTATTCATGACATCAAACCAAACAGTTCAAGTACTCATAATTATTTCTCAAAGTGTAACAATCCTCAACCCCATTTAACTTTTTATAAATCGACGCTTATGCTCTTTCAACTTGAAGGTCTTCGAAATTCCCAATTAGCAGAAATATCCTCCACATATTATTGGATTATAAAATGTTTTGTAAAAATAATTTGAACCTAATAATTTTTTTTAAAATGAAAAATTCCTATGAGAGAAAAGTGCAAATGAGAGTGAAAAAAATTGAGAACAAAAAAAAGAAATAAAACGTGGAAAGTAATCTTGTAGAGGCTTCAATGTGCTTACCGTACATGTAAAATGTGAAAAGCGAATGTTGTACATTTAAAGGATTATTAAGTAGATGTGCCTTTTATACAGAATACATTTAATATTTACGTGTCTGTAAGCTAGAAAACATGTAAAAGAATCAGTTTAAAAAAAAGTTTCATTAATCAGATTACAAGTCCCTTTCATGCTGTTAATTCTATCCAAAAAAAAAAAATTTGTAAATTCTTTCGGCAGGTCTTGAGCTCTCATTTTTCAGTGGAGTTTACTCACCAAGTATCGGATTTACAATACAAATTGGTGAATCGGCCAAACAACTTGTCGGATTATCAGGCATTTGCATTGGAATGGGTGAAGTGTTTGGTGGTATTGCATTTGGATTGCTCGGTGCACGAACATCAACAAAAATAGGACGTGATCCAATCGTCATTTTGGGTTTCATTATTCATATTATCGCGTTCTTTTTAATCTTTTTGAATCTACCGAATGCCGCAAATTTGGGTGATACGAAGGATATTGGTGAGTATCGTGTGACACATGCTGTTTATGTGGCTTCATCACACACAAACAATTGCAAAATTATTTTTAATTAAATTCTACGAAAATGTTTCCAATTTCAAATAGCTTATTTGGATCCACCGCTTGCGTCTGTTGCTTTGCTATGCTCATTCCTGCTTGGCTTCGGAGATTCATGTTACAACACTCAAATATATTCATTGCTCGGTGGTGTTTTTGCCAAAAAGTCAACTGAAGCATTTTCAATTTTCAAATTCGTACAAGTGAGTTGAACATTTTTTGTTTTTGGATTGTGGGTAGCTTTATGTGAAGTTTGGTTGAAAGTTTTCACTGGAAGTGCAAGTGGGCCAGTGGGCTGGTAGACCTTTGTTTAACAGAACATTCACAGAATTTTCCATACTCAAATATTCAACCAAACTTCACAAAAGTTTTCATCCCATAACATACTGCCGATTGTTATCATTCTTTTCCATTACAGTCCGTTGCTGCCGCTTTAAGTTTCGTCTACTCAACGCACATCGGATTGAGAACGCAAATGGCAATTCTAGTGGTATTTGGAACAATCGGAACAATTGCATTTTATACAGTCGAATGGTCTCAAAGGAGGAAGGAAAGTGCTGAAAAGGAGATGATAAAGTCTTCAGATGACCATATGATGGCATCATAGATTTATGTGATTAATATTTTTTTTATAAAAAGAAGCATTTAAATTTTTTAAATAAAAAGGTTGAATTTTTTTCATATTTTATTAATAAAAATTCATTTAATATTTTTTTTCATATTTAACTGCAATTATAATTAATCCAGTTTAAGCTCATTATCGATTCCCAACCTTAACTCACTGCAGTTAATTCAACAACATCATTAACAGATAAATTATTTTTATTTTATGATCTCTTTAATTTTTTTCTCTCGTCTATTAACATTTTCGTCAGTTATCGACAGCTTTATTGCATGATGTTGCTCTTGCATATTTAAGTAGGTTATTGTCATTATGATAATCGTCATCATCACATATTGAGTACATGTACAATCTTCATTTAATGTACGAAGAACAATCACGGATACTCAATTATTTTCTTCATCGATTGTTGGTTTATTGTGGTTGGTTTGCAGGGTTGTCAGATTCATAGAATAATTTATTTAGATTAAGATTCGAACCCTCATCTTAGAATCAACAGAATTTTGAAATGCTTGGTCTGCTAAGAAAGACTTTTCCAACTCCACTTCAACCCTGCCACCACTCATATTAGCTTCATCGTAAAATTCTCTTTGGAATACAAAATTACATTTTGCTATCGAAGCTGTTTTGTGCTTTCTATTCTCTTTGATCCATTAACAAATCCATTCATACTGTATTTGGCATATTTACAATAGCGTTAATCTATTCGCAGTCAATAGGTCACTTACACTTAATTTCATTCATTATACGCTATTTTCGATTTTTTTTTTCGTTCCGTTGTTGTTGCTCAATTTCCGTCTATTTTTACATTTCCAAAAGGCAATCTCTTGTAAAAGGATTATGGACTCTGTTCGTACGTACGAGAAAGAAAGAAAAGTTCGGAGCAGAAGAAAAAGCAGAAATATTTAATGAAGCAATTAGTATGATATTCGTTTCGTACCCATCGCAATAGCATCAATTTTCGTTCCTTTCATTGAGCGTATTATGCTTGTCTATTCATTTATAAGGAATATTTGCTTTCTCTCTTGTACTTTTTGGGGGTCATCGTTTAGTTTAGTTGATTGCGGTTTGAGTCTCCATCCTGTCTACTACCTAAGGATATTTTCCGTATTCAAGACTTTAAGATGAGTTGGGAGCCCTCCCAGCTCCAATCTCCAATCACCAGCCACTCGACTGAATTGTTTATAGGTGTCAAATATACCCAGCATCCCCATTAACCTGTAAACACATGACATCACAAGTAAACCTTCCCCTCTTTGCTGATACCCGAAATAATGTGTAAGAAGTAAAGCAACAACAAAAAAACAGTCATGTAAGCTTCTTTCGAACAATTAAACTGTGATGCCTTTTGAAGAAGATTCAATGTTTGTGATTTCGACCCACCCGATATGGATATCGTCTTAAAAAGCATGAACTGAGTGTAATCTCAGTGCTCCAATAATAACACGAGCTTAATACTCATGAAATCTCATCAAATTGCATGTTCTTTTCAGCTTTCTTCCATTTCATGTACATATCTTGAAGCTATGAAGTATTGGATGAAATCCTTTCAGTCTAGATGATGGAATAGGAAATTGTGAAAGTGACATGTGCATGAGTCATGAACAATGTTTTGTAGCTTACATTTTAATTACATTTTTTTCTCTTTTCTCCTCACATTGTTGTTTATTTATTTATTATTGTGTGACTGGCTATGTTGATACTTTGTATTGAGAAAGTGTTGAAAGGAATTCACAGTGAATTAGTTTATTTATTGCAGGACGAAACGGCGGTTAGGGGACTTGGAAATGAACATCTTTTCTGCTTTTTAGTCCTTTCGTTTTTAAGTCAATTTTGAAAATTTTCCTCTAAATTCTTACAGCACAAATTCCAAGAAATTTAAATCTTGTTTAATAAAAAAATGTAAGACGCTGAAATTCCTTCTGAGAAGATCAAAAATAAGATTTAATTAAATATAATTTAAGCCTTACAATGTAACAAGAAAAATGTATAAAACAAATTAGATTTATTTTCATTTCCTCCAAAACAGAATTAAAAATCCCTTCCTTCACTCGTTTTAAATTCCATTTCCAGAAAATTTCTTTAAATCCTGTAAAAAATAATGAAAATAAATTTTAAAAGGCATACCAGAGGTGAGCGAGACTACGAATGGTGGAGATAAGAAAGAATTTGTAACTTACATGACATTCCATTATTTTCTTTAATGATTACCTTATCTACCGTACACAAATATTTTATCCCGTAGCATCACTAGAATCTCTAATCTTCATTCCTGATAAGAGACATTTCTTTCCCATTTAAAATGGCATTGTTTGTGGATGTGTATGGATGTTTCTGTCTTTAAAACAAATTGTTCATGGATTGTTGGGATACATCTGGGGGTGGGACACGCTTGAATTGTTTATGTTTACATTTTTAATTTTAGTGTGATTTCTGCATCTTTTGTTACGAGTTTTGCATCTTTTATTGCGAGTTTTGCATCTTTTTTTTGCGAGTTTTGCATATTTTTTGGGAGAGTTTTGCATCTTTTTTGGAGAGTTTTGATCCTTTTTTGAGAAGTTTGCATCTTTGTTGGAAGTTTCGCATCTTTGCTGGAAGTTTTGCATCTTTGTTGGAAGTTTTGCTTCTTTGATGGAAGTTTTGCATCTTTTTTGGAAGTTTTACATATTTTATAGGAAGTTTTGCATCTTTTAATGCAACTATTGCATCTTGTTTAAAATTGTCGCATCTCATTATTAAGTTTTGCTTCTCTTTATTAATTTCGTATTTTTGTTGGAAGTTTAACGTATTTTTTCAAAACCTTAGAACCCGTCCAGTGCCAAAATCATCTAGTTGTCTCCACACCTATCCAACACAAGCTTGTGAATGCCGAAATAAAGAAGAATAAAAAAAAGCAAGCAAAACGAAAAACTTCTTTTTTATTTCCTTTACTCTCACAGTTCATCTTACGAGCATTCATCCTCTCGAGAGGACATTAAGAAAGAATGTGAAATGAAAGTAAATGTTGTGATGTGAAACAGAAGTGGATGGAGTAGCGACAGAGTCAGAGAATTGAAGGAGACATAATCGTACACATTGGTAATTAAATCACGTGGCATTCATAGACATTTAGTATTGCTGTTTTGGCAACAATGGCATTCACATGCAATGAAAGTGACTAACATTAACGTGACAGCTTTTCATTTTCAGTGAATTTCACTTCTATTTTGTTCCTTGACCAGCTACATGACTTATATAACTCTTCTCAAATACAAGCACATGATGTTAAGGACTAAAAACATTTTTATGGAAAAATCGATGCTAAAAATCGTGTTTATTTTATTTTTCCATATCATTGAAATCATCGTGAGAAGAATTTCCTTTTGTTTGTGACTGGAAATGCTTTTAGCTTTAGATTGTTGTGTTTTCAAAGTTGATGCTTAAAAGTGTTTCAATTTTTGTTGAGTGTTGCAAAAGTTTGTCAGCTTTTTGGGGGGTTTTTGTGTTCACTTATTGATAAACTCAAGTACTTTTTTGGCATTAATTATGGAATGTTTTATTGAGTGTTGAAAGGAGTTGGGTGGATATTTTAGAAGTTTTTGGTACTATCAGTCTATCACTAAACTCACAAGTTGACTCAAAAATCACCGCAAAAACATTTTTGCCTAACTTCAAGGCGTGAAATCAAATTCAAAAATAATTATTGTGTCTCCACACTAAACAACACATCCACAGAAGCCTCATGCTTTATTAGCTTCATTTTCAATCACGATAATTTTGAGGTTATGACACAATAAAGGTGCACAAAATTCACAATAAATTATTTACAAAAATTGTTCGAAAACGGAAGCCACATCGCGAAAAAATAGAGGCAAAACATAAAGACAACATGCCAACAGTTTGAACACATATGCTCCATTTAATTTATTAGTGATATTGCATTTCAGACTCAACACACATACAGAAAAAGTACATGAAAATTTGCTTTGATTTTGTTGTTAGAATTTCGAAGGTAGATGCTGCCTCTTTCGACAAAAACAATATTTTTGTGTCTATTCAATGCGAATGTGATTTTCAGTAGAGAATGTGCAACTTTGTATGAAGCACTTGAGCCATTTTTAATCATCGTTATAGCTACAAACTAGAGAGGAACGAACAAGTTCCATGCTAAATTACAAGAATAAAGCGTCAAAAAGTGCAGTGATTTAAATTAAAAAAAAGGGGGAACTGTAACAATGTATTTTATAATTTGTAGCACAATGCTTCCTCTTCCGTCACTATGATGCATAATTTTATTTAATGGAACTGCTCTGATTGTGAATGAAATTTATTTTATGTAAACTAAATGTGCTTTAATTATTTTAATAATCGTTGCGGTTTGATGAAATTATGTGAATTTAATTTTTAAAGCATTTTATAATGAGGATTGGAGCACTTTCGTATCTGGAGGCAATGAAATATTTGCAATGCCTTAAAGTAGTGAATGGTGTGAACTATGGATCTTTGAATTATGATTTGTAGGAAAATGGGGGGGGGGGGGGGGCTTTGGAAGTTCAAACGACGAAATAGTAACTCTGTGTATTAATACACAATAAATATCTAGCACTGCTGCTAATATTACTAAATACACCTTACTCCTCTAAAATAAGAATCTCGCTCGCTCATACAAATTCCGTTATCCACTCGAATCTGTAAGCATAAAATGCATGCAGCATGCGTACAATATTAACTTTCCAAGTACGCGCTCAACATACCAAAATAGGCGGAAAAATGTTCGCGAAACAACCAAGAAAAATTCACATAATTAAATTTTTATCTATTCACCTTGCTATCTCATCTTTGTGTACACTGTTTCATATTTTCTTTTTTTCCTATTTATATATTTTATGACTGAAAGTTTTCCTCCTTTTTTTTTGTTTTGTCGAAATAAAATAATGCAAATTTGTTGTCACTTGGCATTTTCATTGTATTCATTCATGAGATATTTCCTCATGCATAATAAACACAAAAAGCATTCGTCAAAAAATTATGAAAATTTTTATTTCCAGTTCTTCTTATTTTTATTTGAGATGAGGAAAAGTTGGAATTTTTTTTTGTTAATATTCGAGGTGAGAAAAATGAGAATTGAGACTGTGAGGAATAATTTTAGATGGCATTGAGGTGAAATGAGATGGAATTGAATTAGGAGTTTGCTTTGGGGATGTGATGAAAGGTCACATTGTTCATGAAATTGAACAAGCTCAGTTTGGTGTAAGTTTGAGCATTTTGGACTAATATGAGCCAGTAAGAGACACTTGATGGAGCAGAGGATTTTTAATGATAAAGCCTGCCATGGTAATGAGCCTAATTGCACCCTAGTCAAGAAGATAAGTTAGTTTTGTATCTTAATACTCCATTTTATGAAAGATGTAATTTTTGGATGACCCATAAAGCTTTATATGTCCTAAATCAGTCAAGTTCAGCTACCTTCACAACAACCTACACAACCTACACCCTCAAATCCCATTTTACCAACCCACACACCCAGCCAAAAAAAAAAAATTTGGAGCAAAACATAAAAATTTTCATAATTTTATTCCACTAGAACTTCTTTCGTATGCTATTTCCGTTCCATGTCATCAAGTGAAATAAGAAAACAAGAAAGAGAAATGAAAATTTCCATAAGTAATGAAATTAGCAAAGAAGAAGACTGAAAATTGTGTGCAAGGTGTGCACCATTGAGAGCAAATGTCAAGTGTATGTTACTTCCTTGACTGTATTCTCATGATAATTTTTTTTATTTGATGTGAATTGAAATGCTTTAAAATTCAAGTCGCATAATTTTCTGTGAATGAGATTGTAAGAGATGAGGGGTGTTTGTGCATGAGGTGACTAGTATTGAAATAAATTACTGAATATTCAATGGTGCTGATGATTATTTCTACGGAGTGTGATGAGTTTTTTTTTTGTGGATTTTGGGTTCTGGAAGTGCCTGGAGTCAAACAGATGCTGAAAATACCTTAAAACCTACCAAACAAAGCTATGTCTGTCTATTCTCACAATATCATCCTCCATTATTCCTAAATCATCCATTTAATGTCTAATAATAATTCAACTATGATAAAAGACTGAACAAAGTAAGCACAAAAAAAATTAATCTACCATCAGACATTGAAAATGAATACGCAGCAAATTTGCACAAGTGCCTTTTCAAATTTTTCCCTAACACTTATTTTTCCTTTCTCTGGCTTCAATAGAAATTTATGAGCTCGCAGTTAGAACGAGGTGGAGAAAATTTCTTTTTATGCTGGATAATAAAATCAATGAGCCAATTCGCGCTAGAACAAAAATGCCAGTTGCTTGTTATTGCATTTAAATTATGATGTATGGAAGCAAATTTTAAAAAATGTTTTTCATTCACTTTTTTCTTTTTAGCGAGGTTTTTTATTGAGGGATGGAAGGTTTTGGTGGAGTGCTGTATGGGACGATGAGGGTCTGATAGTTCTTTATGGAGTTAAAAACCTTTCGAACCTTCCTATTGATATCCTATTGAAAAAACTGACCATGTTATGGATTAGAAATTAATCTGAAATGATATTGTTCCTAAGAATTGAAAAATCCGGTATTGAAGTCAGCACAAGTGCCATGTTGATTTAAAATTAGAACAAGCTAATGAAAATGCGCTTTGAATCCACTTCCCAAGTGACTTCATTACTTGTTACTTTCAATATGTGTGTATGTGTCTGTATGAATGCTCAATCGATGGCATAGAAGGTTTATTAATTTTTACCCACCCGTTTCCCCCCTTCCCAGTAAACGCCAAACTTTCACATTATTTAAATAAATTTCTGTTCATTGTCAAGTGAAAAACTGCGGCACTTTTCACAAACGATTATCGTTTGCAATTTCCAACGAAATGAAAAAAAGGCAGCAAGCAAAAAATTAACGGAAAAAGAAATATCAGTTCAGCTGTGATTTAATTTTACTTGTCTGCATTGAAATTTATGACTTGCGACTGATATTGAAAAAGCATTGCTTTTTGACTATGTGCTGTATGTGCCGAGATTTTTTCCTCACACTCTATTCTTGTCTTTAAATGAAAAATTTGAAAAATGCTTCTTGCTTGCTCATTTTCAGAACTCCGTTTGGGATAAAAATGAAGGGATGGTAAAGGCATGGAACATATGTTGCCGAAATATAAATTAACAGATATTTATCATCCTATAAATTATCCCCCTTTTTTTTTGGCTCATTGTAATTAAGTTTAGTGTGCTTGTTTAACGCGGTTTTACACAACTTGTTTTTTTTTGTACTGCTGCATTGTAAATGATATGCTTTATTAGTTATTAACTGGTTCTTGTATTTGAAGTTTTGTTTTTGAGGCAACATCTGTGATTTTGGGTTTTTCTGTGTTTATTTTTCTAGCATGTTGAGTGGCAAATTTTGTAGTTTTGTTGCCAGACTCTTGTTAAATGCAGTTTTGATGTAGAAATTTAAAGTTGTTTCACAATTTGAAGCTTTAATATTATAACAGTTAAAGTGAATTATGACATATTTTAGGGGCTTCCCTAAAAGACAAGTCGTAGAAACTCAGGATTAACCCTAAAAGCTCCTTTAGTGCAGTGCAATTTAAAGCATGAAAATGTGAAATCCTTTTTAAATTCCTGATCTTTAAAAGGGATTTCACATTATCATGTTTATTGGCTCAAGGATTTTTAAGAATTTTCGGGATTTTTTGGGATTAATCCTGAGTTTCCACGCCTTGCTAAAAGACTAATATCAAGGCCTTAGCTACGTCACTGACTATTTGACTTATTTACACTCTTTCAAAAGTTATTGTACTTCCACTGATGATGACTCTGTCAGTAGATATGTCTTATTTTTTACATAGTCAGCCTTCCAATTCTTGCCCTTACCTCTAAAACTCCCTCCTCACAATCCCATCATTCACAAGAATTCCAGTCTCTCCAAAAAATCCTTCTCAACTTGTTTATCTTCAAGAATAATTTTTATTTCATCCTAATTTCTTTTTTTTTCCCTTCCCCGGTCACTTCTGTGAGTGTCTCGTGAGCCCATTTGCCTCGTTTTTGATGAAAATGTTACTTAATAAACTTTATGGGAATTATGCTGGTTGTAACAGTTATTTTCTCGTATTATCAAATGAAGAGGGTTCTTCGTTCATTCAATATTTCTTCTTTCTCTCGTTTTTAAATAACCTCAATAAATGAGAATAAAGAATGAGGAAATGCGAGGATGTTGTGTGTATGTTAATCAAAGTCCATCTAGAATTTTTTTATCTCTGTGTGTGCTTTTTACATCGCAAAACTTTATTATAGATATAATATGAGAATATAAGTATGTTTTGAATATGACTGCGGCATGGATGGAGTAGCTGGATGTTGAATAGTTAGACTATTGATGATATGTGGTGCATTTTTATTTAAAAAACATGATTAATATATTGGTGCCAATTTTTGAGGCTTTCTGGGAGACTCTACTTAATAACAAGTTTACTGGTCTTTGATTGCTAGTGTAAGGCCTTGATAGCATCTTCAGATACCAAAAATGCTGATTACACATACTAATCTTAATGTAAATCATAACTCCCAATGACATTCAGCCAAAGCATCAACTTCAGCTCCTTAAATCCCAACAAAACAACTTCATCCTTGCAAGGCCTTGGCAAGACAAAAATATATAAAATGTGACTGATGATGATAAAAATTTGTTGTATGGCCTCCACCTTATATCATATACATTATGATTCTCGTTCTTCCTATCCATTTATGCCCTTTTTTCTGTATCGCACACAATGTAGTAAGGAAAGACGAAAAACGACAGAGAAAAAAAAAGGTTTTTAATCATAATTAGATTCATAGTTCTCTCACTCACTCGACCCACACAGAAAAAAAAAATCTTTTTTTTTGCAGACACAAGCATACAGCATTCATTCGACCATGGTTATGGTATAAATTTTTATCATCATTTAGAATGACAGAAAAGGACATTATCACACATATCAGTGTACTGTTTTGATTTCCTTTCTTTTCTTAAAGCTCTCAACATAATGGAAGTTCCTTTTTTTAGAATACGTTATATGTGTGAGATTATGTCGAGCACATGTCGAGTGTCGAGGTCAAGGTCCATTTTTATATGCCCAATTTTGTACTTTTTTTTACGATCATGAAACCACATAAATTTTATTCCTCTTTTTTTCAAAATTCATTATTTAAATTGGCTTGTGAATAATGAATGAAATTGTATGTATGTGAGTTGTGTGTTGGAGGATGGCAAGTTGTGAGTACTTTCTGGATTAGATGTTGAATGTTGTAGGAAAAGAATGAATTTTGTGGATGTAAACTGCTTAATGTGGTGAAAATTGAGTGAGTCATTGAAATATTAGTGGAATTTTATGCTCCGCACTGATTTAAGTGCTGTCGGTAGGATTTGAACATTGATCCTTATAAGGTAGAATCTGACAGGGACTGGTTTCTAAGTCTACAAATTTACATACTTCTCTGGCCGTACAGAGTCTGTCAAAAGCTTCTCTTCAAGAGTTCTTGGGATCTCCACGTGCTCTTTTGCCATCTACAAATTCAGATTTGAGACCTTATTAATGGGAGCTTCAACAAGTCATCTTAACAACATGATCCGCCCAACGAAGCCGTTGACTTTATTTAATTATAATGCTACTCGCCTAAGGTTTAAATAATGTTAAACTTAAAATAGATATAGTTCCCCGGATAGCCCTAGTTTCCAATCTAAAGTTGCCTCAAATCAATTCAAATAAGCCGACTTCTAGCTTGAAAGTATTCTTAACAATTCCACAAAAAGTCCCCAAAAAACCCACAACTTGTAACAAAAAGTGAGTCACACAAACATACAAAAAATAAATTTCAATCGATTATTAAATAAAAAGTTTTTCAAAAAAGAGAACAGGATAACACTGGATGTAGCATCAGCAGCAGTAGCATACTGGGGATATAAATCATTTATTAGATTGCCCTTTTTTTTGGCGAAATTAAATGATAGCAAAGTTTGGTATGGTGAATCTGGTTGTGTATTTTCATATATTTTAAAAAATAAAATTAATTGCATAGTGGTGCACTATTTTTCATTGAATTAGATTGAGTTAAAATTGAGGTCGAAAATGCAATAAATTAAGTTAAAAAATTGTTTTTAAAATTTGCATTTATGCTAGATTTTATTCCATGGTGCTTAATTTTCAGGTAATTGGGATCGAAAAAAATGGGGGCAGATAATTAAATAAAATATGGCAAAATATTTATCAAATTTCATGAAATTCAATATTTTTACAGCCATGTGTAGTTGTGTAAAATTCATTGTAATAAAAAGAAGACAATTTGATGTTATATTGCATTCTCTCTCAATTTAAACTTTTCATCTTAATAATATTTCAAGCTTTTTATTTCAGCTGAGAACTTTTTTCATTATCGTAATAAAATAATGTTCAACATAATACAATGAATGAAACTCTCCTCGATAATGCTCAACTTTTACTTAGTTTAAACTTTTTTTAATGCTTCTTTTTCTTTATCATTACTTTGAACTTTAATCACTGAGAGAAAAATTGAAGGTTGACAGGACATTCACCAAGGACGTCGCGATTTTTTGTGTCAGCAACACTAGACTAGACTCGACTAGACTCGACTAGACTCGGCTAGACTCGACTAGACTCGACTAGACTCGACTAGACTCGACTAGACTCGACTAGACTCGACTAGACTCGACTAGACTCGACTAGACTCGACTAGACTCAAATAGACTCAAATAGACTCGACTAGACTCGACTAGACTCAAACAGACTCGACTAGACTCGACTAGACTCAAATAGACTCGACTAGACTCGAATAGACTCGACTAGACTCGAATAGACTCGAATAGACTCGACTAGACTCGACTAGACTCAAATAGACTCGACTGGACTCGACTAGACTCGAATAGACTCGACTAGACTCGAAAAGACTCGACTAGACTAGACCAGACTAAACTAGACTAAACCGGACTGTACCAGAAATGACCAGACTAGACTGGACTCGTCGAGAGAAGCTACAATATGGCAAGCGAATTCAAGAGGTTATTTTATGGCTATAACTTAATTTCAGTGTGAATAAAAAAATTCTTCATTGTTCTAAGTTCGGTAATTGGTTTTTATTCAATTGTTTATTAGTTTGCAGAATACTTTGTCTATTCAGAACCATAAAGTCCTTGAAAATTTTATGTGTTATGGATCATGAATAACTGCAGTTGCAGTTCAGTATAGATTGCTGCTCATTGTTTATTAATTGTACATAAAATTGATGAGCGATGCTTCATTTTAAACAATGAATCATTTTTGAAATAATATAAATCACTGGGCTCATGAGACTCTTTTTGTTTATTTCTGCTGTTTGATCCATCAAGATTACATTTGTACATTAATGTAGGTTATATCTTTAGTATTACGCAATTTTTGTTATGGATTCTACTACAAAATTGAACTTGTTTGTTCAACCAACTAAACTGGTTTCTCAAATAACTCATTTTATCACAAACAACAGTAACTGCATGAGCTATTCTTGAAATAATTCGATTGAGCGATTATTTTCGAAAAATGTACAGTGCTTGGTGCCATGGTTTTTGAAGCATTGAAAAAATATTTTCGTTGATTCAAGTTATCAAGTTTTTAAATGAATTATGTAGCTTAAAAGTGAACGCGCATTTTATATGCTGTCCTCAAAAACCTCCAGCAATTTAAAGTCATTTTTTCAGTTGAGTTGTTCTCCAATGCATCATTTTTCCAACATAATGACAGTCAGACATAATCAGAACTCGTGATATCAATGGAAATATTTTTTTGCACCGAATCATTTCCCTCCAATAATATCTCATACGAAACAGAAAGCATGTGAATGAGAAATTCTTTCCCTATCCTTTTCATGACTTGAAATTATCATCTTCCGCATGCTTCAAAAGCACCGATTGTGTTAAGACGAAATATGTTCATCTTGATAGAAGCTTATTATTGATTTAAAGGCATGATGATGAACATCGCAGATTTGGCTGTTTTTGTTATGTTTCAAGGGTGCTGCTGCTCATTTCTGGTAGTTCAAATATTGTGTGCTGTTTGCTTCCTTTTACTTTCTGATGAATATTTATGGAAAATAAACATTAATTATTGTTTAAGGCAGTGTTGTCGAAACTGTGTGGCGCAGCACACTAATGTGCCGTAGATTTTTTTAAACTGACACGAGCCGCATGCTGTGTGCGACCTCGGTCATGACTTACCCTTCAAGTGTGCCATGGCTCAATAATTTTGGACAACACTGGTTTAAGGCTTAAAGTCTATAATTTAATATTAATTTGATTTAAAGAGCTAGTGGAGGTTCAAGAAGTGATGGAATTTGCCAGACTAATTGGAGCTACTTACTAGGTAAATTTGGAGCTTTGTAAGGTGCAACATATCAATATTGAATTGCTATGGTTAGGAGCTAGCTCAAGCCTTAAGCTACCGTTTAATGATCGATTACTTAAGTTCTTGAGCTCTTGAGCTTATAATAATTGTGTCGATTAAGCAACAATCAGGCACCGTAATAGTAAAATCACTACTTCACTGAGTCACTAATAATCAATTCAGTGAATTCGATTAATTTGATTTAAATCTCATTCCATGAACTAATATTCTATTTTTAATCGCACAGACTAAAGCGTTACTAAGTTGCGATAACAAAACTTCCATTTTCTTGTAACCTTTCCCGCTTTTACCAAAAAACCATATCATTTCCCCACCAAACCACCTTAAAAGATTTTAAGTAAAAATTGTTTAAAAATAAACTTCAACAATAAATCACAGAAATTAAATTTGTACACGATTTTCACATCTACAATTATTTTACAATTCGATTTCTCTCCACAACTCCCGCCATAGAATTTGTTTTCATTTTACACAATCAAAACCTCAACAATAATCAAATTCACAGCACATAAAATGAAAATTTAAGAAACTTTTTCTCTTCTTCTTCTCTCATTGCTCCTTTCATTTGTCGACGTCGCTTTTTTGCTTCACATCGAATTGAAAAGTGAAAATATTTATCAGGAATGGAAAGAAGGCTGGCTGTAAAAGAAGCAACAGCAGATTGAATTTCATTAAATTTAATTAAAGTCATTTTCCATTCACTAAAGCAATCAACAAAATTAATCTGGCGAAAAAAAGAATTATTTTTATTCTCATCATGAGAAACCGCGAGAGTTTGAAAATAATCGCAATCTGCTATTGTCGCGAATAAACAAAAGGCAGATGAAGACGAGAAAAGGCGTTGAGTGCGTGTGTGTTGTCGGCAGTATGAGGTGCTGAATAAAGACTCAAATAAATTTAATTAATTCGACGTGAAAGGGAAAAATGATGAAATTTGAAGGAACTGTAATGAAAGAACCGCATCGTGTGCTAAAGTTATTTGTATACGGGAGATGAGGATATAAAAAAAATTATTTTCTTGAAGCCTTAAATCTTTTATGTCATAATTTGATGGAAATCTTATCAAAAACCACATCAGAGGGAAACACACAAAATACTTTTGCCATTTTGTGTGGAAAGAATTTTTTTTCGGCTGTGCTTGATTTATATTTGATTTTTAGGTCGGGGTGTGAGGAAATTCTAGCTTATTAAATGTGGTTTTGAAGAATTTTTTTAAAAAAAAAATTAAAAAATTTAAGAATTTACTTCAGATTAGAGTTGGTAACAACTAGATTTCATGGCAGTTGCTTACTTGAACAGTACAAGTCGTTCAATTGATTAGAATGTCTGTCATGGTACTAGATTTAAATAGAAGCCAGCATCATATCAGACACTTGACTGCTTGGTGCCAGATTTCTATTCGATTGACCGACTTGTGCTATTCGGGCTGAGTAATGCAAGTGTTGAGTTTTGATCCTTAGTATCTTTAGTAAGCAAACTAGTAATCCTTAATCTTAGTTCAATAATCTTCTTTTCTCAACCTACTTTAAAATTTCTTCATTAAGGTAAGGGTTTTCAATCACGGGATTGAAATGTATGTAATCCCGGGATCAAACCCGGGATTCAGTACATTTTAAACCCGGGATTGAAAACCCTAATCAAGGTTCAAAAATTTCACGTCTAAATAACCATCCAACATCAGTTCATCCACCATAAATAACATAAAAGTTCAAGACACTTAATAGTCCGTACAGTCTCGTACACAAAGATAATTCCAACAGAAAAAAAAAACTTACGAATTTAGAATGAAAAAACCATTTTAAAAAACGGATGAACACAAGGCGACAGTTTCAGAATCATCAATTTGAGGGATAAACACGAAAAGTTTAAGTAATCTCTTAAAGAAAAGAAAAAGAGATTCATACTTACTTAAACAACACCTGAACAATCATTTATTTATTTATCCTCTTCACGCAATCTTTCTTTTTCTATCCATAAAATAAAATTCGCAGAGATTTTGCAAAAAAAAAAGTTTTTACTCCCACTTCTTATGAAATAGAAGAAAAATTTCGAAACTCCATAAATTTTTCATGCCCAAAATGCTTTTAAAAATCGATTTTGCGTCCTCGGTGCTTCACTAATGAGTATTGAAAAACAATCACAGAATATTACGTGGCAACGCATTTCGAATACTGATGAGGTCGATGACAAAAAAATACGAAGTTTGAATAAAAATAAAAAATAAAACACATTTGACAAAAGGAATAAGAAACGTGGGGAAAATATTCAAGGTAAGGTAACAATTTTTTTCCGTAATTTGGATAAAGATGAGAAAACTAAGAGTCAAAATGAGAGAATTGAGAGAACTGAGAGCAAAAATGAGAAAATTGAGAAAAATGAGAGTCAAGATGAGAGAATTGAGAGAACTGATTGTCAAAATGTGAGAATTGAGAAAACTGACAACCAAAGTGAGAGAATTGAGAGAACTGAGAGTCAAAATGTGAGAATTGAGAGAACTGAGAGTCAAAATGTGAGAATTGAGAAAACTGACAACCAAAGTGAGAGAATTGAGAGAACTGAGAGTCAAAATGTGAGAACTGAGAGTCAAAATGTGAGAATTGACAGAACTGACAACCAAAGTGAGAGAATCGAGAGAACTGAGAGTCAAAATAAGAGAATTGAAAGAAGATTGAGAGTCAAAATGAGATAATTGAGAGAACTGAGAGTCAAAATGTGAGAATTGAGAAAACCAAAAGTCAAAATGAGAGATTTGAGAGAACTGAGAGTCAAAATAAGAGAACTGGAGAAGATTGAGAGTCAAAATAAAAAAAACTGACAAAAATGAGAGTCAAATTGAGAGAATTGAGAACTTAAATTGAGAGAATTGAGAACTTAAATTGAGAGAATTTAGAACTTAAATTGAGAGAATTGAGAACTTAAATTGAGAGAATTAAGATCAAAACCAATAAACAGTTATTAAGTTTTTGTATTCAGAAAGTAAAGTCACCAACCCCTGAGAATTTTCATGCGAGATTCAAAGTTACAATGCAAAAGTTTTCTTTTTTTTTGAAAAATTCTCCAGTCGTGCGTTTAATATAAAATGTTTTTGACTATCACTTAACAGTTTTTTTTTCTTCTTCAGTGCGCGTCACACACAAGCATGGCAGAAACGAAAATAAAATGAAGAAAAGATGGCAATATATGTAAGATGAAATGGATGGAAGAGAAAGATGAGAATGTAATATGAATGTAAAGAGGAATTACAGTCTAAATGCTATAAAAATTACATTAAAATTACAGATTGTAAATTTATTGCCAAGTCCTCGTCTCGTTCACTCTCACGGCTTATGAATATTTTAAAACTCGAAAATGCTTTCAACAATTTTCGCGTACACAAAAAATGCGATTTCATTGTTGTTATAAACGATAAAAATTTACAATTGTTTAGAATTTGTGCTGAAATGAGGAAGTGGTTGAGATTTATTTGCTTGAGCAAAGAATCATTTATTACCCGAGAAAAATATATATAAATGCCTGCTGAAGAGAGAAAAATACGAGAATCGTGAGATTGAAAAAATTATTCATTACTTCGTACTTGAGATTTATTTGTAACGTGCTGATAAGAGGAAGAATTTCCTTTTTCAAATTTTTTTGAGCTTCTTACGCATTTTTGGTTTGTTTGCTATTGGATTTAAAGATTCTTTTTTAAGATTTTGAGAGGGGGAAATCCATCACTTTGGGCTTTAATCAATATTACTTATGTAGGTTGTGATTAGTCTGTGAAAAACATTAAGGTTCACAGTAATAAGTTCTTGTGTCTATCATCTGATGATATTTGACGGTGGATTTTCTCAGACAGCCTAATGCAGACATTGTCGTCAGACTTCAACAAATCTTGTGGTTTGGGTTTTATATTATATAAGGTATCCCAAAGTTTAGAGTAAATTAAGGAGGTGACAATTGATGTGATCCCGATGTTCAGCCCTCGAGTTTTGCATTCAAATTAATACTATTAAGAAAAGTCCTTCCTTTGCATAGAACAAATTAAAAAATTAAATCCAATTTCAATCCAAAAAGATGAAACTTTTCTCTGAAAGTTCTTTAATTTATAATAATTTAGCCATGCGTGCACAGCTTTATGTTTTTTAAAAACAAGAAAAGTTCCTTATCAATGTGAGTCACAGCCACACATTCTGGCGAAGCACAAATAATAGTAAACAAATTTTTGTATGGGAATTCCCATTTACTTTTAAATTGAACTGAGAGATACTTATAAATCATGTATAAATGAGCATTCAGAATTGAGAATGTTGTCATTCAGCTTTGTGTATTTGAAGTATAAGAATCTAGAAAATATTTGTCTGCTGGTCATTTTTAAATTCATTAACTTATCAAATATTCGTGAGAATTTACAATTTTACTGATTAGTACTTAATAATGAAGAAGAAATTAGGTTTACTAGTTGTATTACTAGTCACAGCTAGATTGTGTGAAAGTTACAGTGATTCTGAAGAAAGTGAAGAGAGCACTAGTGTCTCGTCTATAAATAATAGTGATTCATATGACAGTAAAGGATATTTTACAGTCACAGCAAATAGATTACTAAGACTCAACAAACTTTATCGAGTGTCAATTCAATTTCAAGGATATCAAAGTGAAAAAATAATTAAAGTTGGAATTAAGAATAAAAATTTTGAGGAATTTAAGGAAGTGACGTTGCATAAAAGCGGCAGCAAAACTGTAGAGTTCAATGTAAGTTATATAGTGTCTTTCTCCAAAGATTTAGAATTTAAGACTCTATTACCGACTCCTCATCCCCATGTGTCTTGATATTTTAATACCAGAAGAATGTCAAACTTAATCTTCATACTCATACCACCTTGAATATTGAACTGCATAAACAAACAACATCTAATTAAATCACAATCTATTTTTTAAACACTTTGGGAATTCTCATATTTTTATTTTTTTCCTACTTTAAAGCTTAAAGATCATCATATTGGTGATTATAAGCTCGAGGTCAAAAGCATCACAGGAGATAATTTTGAATCATCGCGTCGCATTGAAATTGTCAAAAAGAAATTTTCTGTGTTTATTCAAACTGACAAATCAATTTATAAGCCGGCTGATAAGGTTCAGTTCAGAATTTTGCTACTTGATGCTGATACGCGTCCATTTAATGCCTCAAAAGTGAAAATATTCATCACAGACGGTGACGATAATCGCGTGAAGCAATTTGATAGTCCGAAATTTGTCAAAGGCGTCTATCAGAATGAATTGCAGCTTTCAGACTTGCCGGTTATGGGAAAATGGAAGATTCACGTGAAAGTGAATGACAAAAAGGATGAAAAGAAGGAATTCAAAGTTGCTGAATATGTTTTGCCTAAGTTTGAGTTTACAATTGATGCAAATCCAGATGCAAACTTTAAGGACGGAAAAATCAGAGCCACAGTTAAAGCAAAATACACTTTTGGAAAGACTGCAAAGGGAAATGCAACAATCACAGCTTCAAGAGAAGCACCAACATGGTCATACTATGGAAATAATCATAAAGAAGTATCTAAGACAATTGATATTGATGGCAAAAAGATTGTCGAGTTTGATATTGAGAAAGATCTTGATATCAAAGACAAGCATCGAGAATATACAGTTGATCTTCGTGCAACATTTACAGAGGAACTTAGCGGTAAGGAACAGAATGCAACAGCAAAAGTTCAAATCCATATCACACCTCACAAAATGGAATTCAAGAAAAGTGGTGAAAAATTCAAGCCTGGACTTCCTTACAAAGTAACAGCAATACTGAAATATCATGACAAAGATGCTCCAATTACAGATTCACAAAATCCTGTCAAATTCACGATTAAAAATTATCGAACTGTTAAATCAAAATGTAAAAGATATGGAGGATTTGGTTATTATCCATCATCAGCACGAACGTACAGAGGTCCGTGGGATACTGACTATACTACTCGTAAGCCAGAAGAGTATGATTGCGATAAAGAAACTTCTACAGTTGATGAGAAGAACGTTTATCCGAAAAATGGAAAGGCAGAGCTTGAGCTTGATGTTGATTCAGCTGTTGAACGATTCCATGTTGAGGTAAGGAATTAGTGAGCATTAACCAAGACTGTATCTGATTTATATTTCGTTAAACAGGCAAAATATTTGGACACAGTAAAAAGCATTTCAAATGTCCCAAAAGCAGAGTCAAAGAATGATGAATTCCTTCAAATTAAGGCACTGACTAAAAAGTGAGTATTTTCTTCCATCTGTTTTAGGAAAATGTGAACGGAAGACAGATTTTGACTTAGTCACCAATTCAACCTCATGCTAATATTTTCTATCTTGCAATCCTAGACCAAAGCTTAACAATCCAATTCAAATTGAAGTTCATGGCACGAAAGAATTAAAAGAAATTTCATATCAAGTTATTGGAATAGGAAGTGTTGTTGAGTCCAAAACTATTTCAGTGCCTAGTCTCAAGAAAACTGAGTTGACTTTTACAGCAACTGATGAAATGGCACCAACTTCTTATGTTATTGTCTATTACATCACAACAAATGGTGAAATAATTTCAGACAAACTTAAAATTGAGCTTGAAAGTGACTTAAAAAATCCAATTGACATTCAGCTCTCAGCAAATCAATTAAAGCCATCAGAAGCTCTTGATATAAGAGTAAAGACAATGCAAGATTCATTTGTTGGACTTTTGGGAGTTGATCAAAGTGTGTTGGTTCTTAAGAAAGGCAATGATATTGAAAAGTCGAAAGTCATGGAAGAACTGAAAGAATTTAACAAAGGAACTGATTCATATGAGAATCGTGACATCTATAGAGATTTTAAGGACTCTGATGTTCTAATAATAACTAATGCTATTTCTGAATATAAGAAGCCCTATGTCCCAAAATCACCGTATTATCCTGGAACAAGACCTTATTACATGTCAAACGGATTTGGCGGATTTGGTTTTCGATCAAGTCCATCTTACAGCAACAATGGTCCTTTTGGTTCTTTTGGTTATTCAGGTGGATTTGGTGGTTTTGGAGGCTCAGCAGCTAATGCAGCAGCGAGTTCTCAATCATTTAATACTGGTGGATTTGGACTAGCAGCTCCACAATCATTCAATCCACAACCTACATCGCTTTCATTTGATTCTGGAATAGGATCCATTGAACATATAAGTGATTCTCAGCCAAAAGAAACGAAACAAAGAGCAAAGAAACCAATTGAAGTTCGAACAGAATTCCCGGAAACGTGGCTTTTTGAAAGCTTTGATCTTAACCCAAAGTAAGTATCCAACAACAATGGATTTAAATCATTAATGACTTTATATAACAATTTACTTCCAGTGAAACATCAAAAGTTTTATCGATCAAAGCACCAGATACAATTACGTCATGGATAATTACAGGATTTTCAGTTAATCCAACTTATGGTTTAGGATTAACAAAAGAAGCTTCAACATTGAATGTCTTTCAACCATTTTTTGTGTCCACAAATTTGCCATATTCAATAAAACGTGGTGAAGTTGTTGCTATTCCATTTACAGTTTTCAATTATATGCAAGATGATCAAGAAGTTGAAGTCAAGTTCTTTAATGCTGATCGAGAATTTGAATTTGTGGAAGTAAATGAGGAAGAAAATGAAGTCAAAAATAGAAGAAAGAAGCGAGGAGTTGAATTGGAACGAAAGAAAAATGTTTTTGTAAAGTCAAATGAAGGAACAACTGTCAAGTTCATGATCAGATCATTGAGGGTTGGATATATTACAATTAAAGTAACTGTTGAGTCTCAAGTTGCTGGTGATGGAGTTGAACAGAAGTTGCTTGTTGTGCCTGAAGGAGTCACACAGTTCATGAACGAAGCAATTTTGGTTGACTTGAGAAACAGTTCAGAATACAAGACATCGATTGAAATTAAAGTTCCAAATAATACAGTTGAGGATTCAACAAGAATTGAGGCAGCTGTAAGTGGCGATCTACTTGGACCATCAATTGAAAACTTGGATAAGCTGATGTAAGTATCCTAATTTATTAAAAAAGATAATTCTTTTTAACCAAACTGTCTTAATTGTTACAGTAAGTTGCCTTACGGATGTGGAGAACAGAACATGGTGAACTTTGTTCCAAACATTGTAGTCTTAGACTACCTGACTAGTGTCAATAAACTTACTGCAGAAATTGAAGAAAAGGCAAAGAAGCATATGGAATCAGGATATCAAAGAGAACTCGGTTATAAGCATGATGATGGATCTTACAGTGCATTTGGAAAAAGCGATCAATCTGGCTCAACATGGCTTACAGCATTTGTTATCAAGTCATTCAACCAAGCATCAAAATACATTGAAATTGAATCTGATGTGATGAATCAAGGCTTGAAATTCTTATCAAAAACACAGAAAAGAGACGGAAGTTTCCCAGAAGTTGGATACATTTTATCATCATCATTACAAGGAGGAGCATCAAAAGGAATCGGATTAACTGCTTATGTCTTGACAACATTTTTGGAAGCTCACAATGCAGAAAAGTATAAAGAAGTAGTCATGAAAGGTTTTAGATATATTTTGGACAATGTTGACGAGTTGAATGATAATTATTCATTGGCAATTGCTTCATATGCCTTACAACTTGCTAAAGATTCTACATATGACCAAATAAGAAACACATTGCTTGAAAAACTTGAGACTAAAGCTGAAAATGAAGGCCAATTGAAATATTGGAAGCGAGAATCAGGAAAGAAATCAAGCAGACCTAATTCAATCAATATTGAGATGACTTCATATGCTTTATTATCATATCTTGAAGCTGGGCGCTATGCTGATGGATTTGCAATTGGAAAATGGCTTATAACACAAAGAAATGAGAATGGAGGATTCCAATCAACTCAAGATACAGTTGTTGGACTTCAAGCATTAGCTAAATTGGCATCAAAAGGTTCTGATCAGAATGACATTAAGATCAATATCAAAACAGATGAAAAGAATTTGGACATAAATGTGAATTCTGATAATTCATTGGTCTTGCAGAAATTCGAACTGCCTTCAAATTCAAGACATTTTGACATCACAGCAAATGGACAAGGTTCTTGTTTGCTTCAAATCGCTTATAGATATAATATTGACAATTCGAAGAAACGTCCACGATTCACGTTAGAACCTAAAATTGGACCTGGATCACATAAAGAATATTTGCACATGACTGTGTGCACAAAATTTGTTCCTGACTCATTTGCAACAAAATCTAATATGGCTGTGATGGAAGTGACACTTCCAAGTGGATTTACATTTGATACTGATCATATGAAGGATTTGAAGGCAACCAGACGAGTTAAGGTGAGCTGATAATTTTATATGTTTTTATATTTCTATAAGTTAATTGTTTATAAATTCTGATAAATTCACAGAAAGTCGAAACTCAAGATTCAGACACAATTGTGATTATTTACTTTGACGATATTGACGGAACTGAAATTTGTCCAGAATTTAAAGCTTATCGAACTCACGGAGTTGCAAAACAGAAGCCATCGCCGATCATTATTTATGACTATTATGATAATTGTAAGTTCATAATTTTGTTTATTTTTAATAAGTGAAGTAATTTGGAAATTTAATTTACAGCTCGCCATGCTCGAGTTTTTTACAACTCACCAGAAGTTTCTCTTTGCGACATTTGCGGCGATGAAGATGAATGCCAAAGTGCATGTGAAACAACTGATATTGAAATTGAATAAATTTAATTTGCGTACCACAAACGTGTGGTGGACACTTAAATGTTTCATAAATTTTTGATAAAGTTCGACCCTAAATTGTGAATAAAAATTCATCTCCGACCTAAATGTGACTTCCTTAAATGACGATGATTAATTGCAGTGCACGTAATTTTTCTGCATCATTATTATCGCAATTCAAAAAGCTGCCCATAAACTCATTCATCTGTAATTACTTTGCATTGACAATTTGTCACATTTCCGATTTGCTTGCTAATTGATTTGGGGGAAGTTTATCGATGACGTTTTGCAACAGCCGAATCAAATTGAGGAAAAATTGTGCTTTATGTCGCACGCTGGCTGCACTTTTGTCATCAAAAATTAGTCAAGGTGGTTATTTTCGTTGAAACAGCTTATGAGATGGTCTAAAAGGCTTCGAGCTAACTTGAGAAAGATATTTGACGTCACTTATGAATTGTCCCATATCTATAAATCTATAAATAATTTTTTTGATGCACTAGACTGTGCATGAAATGAAAATAAAGACACAGACAATTTCACATGCATAAAAATTTTCATCATTGATAATAAAAAAATAGGAAATGAAGACAAAAAAATTCATTTCGTAATTTCCATCATTTCACCCCATTTTAAAAAAAATTATTGAATATTCTCATTTTTTTTGTGCAAAGTGCCAGGAAATGGGATGACAATGTGAAAATTGTTCGCTCATAAATTGGAAAATTACAGCAATTTGAAAATGCACATTTTTTTATGATTTTTCTCTCTCGCCAATTTTAGTTCCTCTCATGAAAAAATTCTTACTCTCTTTCACTAACACAATGATAGCTCAAAACATAAACAAGTCACATAGACAGCGAAGGATACGTCAAGGGGATATTTTTCACATGTAAACATCACACAGCAGTAAAGCTATTTCATATTGTGGATGTGCAACAAACGGGATATTTTTTTCCAGTGGAAAATTCAGTAGACTTTTCCCATACAATCCTTGTTGATTCATTGTCGCAATTCAGTCTACGTACGGATTGAAAAGCGAATGGTTGGAAAAAACCTTTTATCGTCATTTTAACCGGATTTTTTTGTACCTTTTTTTTCATATGTGAAAAAAAGGAAAGAGAAAGAAAAAAAAAATTAAAATGAAATTTTTCTCAATCAACTTTTAGTTGCGTTTTTGTTTTCAAATCGAAATCATTTGTGAAGTAATTGATGGATATTTGTCGGAAATTGTATTCGATGGATGAAATTTGTAGAAATTTTATCGAAATAAATTGAAAAAGGATTTATTTTGTGAAGAAAAAAATTTTTTAAAAGATAAAAAGCAAAAAATATAAACAAAATATTTTTTTTTCTCTGTGAAATAAAAAAAAAAATTTTTTTTTGGTGGAAAATTTAAGTAAGTGTTGTGGAAAGTTGTGGATATTCATTTGTGAATTTTTTTAAGTAATATCACGAAATCGAAATATTTTTTTTTTCCAAAAAAGATGAGAAATGTTTGTATTAAGAAGAAAAATTTGTGGAAAAATTGAAAGTTTTAAGATCTTAAATTTAAGACAGTGTGGATTTTTTTGAGTGTTGATTTAAATATTTTTTTTTAAGAAATCTAGAAAACAAAAAAAAATTTTTGCAAAATTTTTAAAAAATTTGTAGCTTTTCAAAAAGAAAAATATTTTAAAAATTTATTATTAAGTTGATGATAAATAATAAAAACATGTTAAATTAATTTTTTGGAAATTTTGATTATTTTATTTTAAAATAATTCTAATTTCTTACATTTGCTGCCTGTGTGTGAACTTTTATTAAACTTTAAATTGCTTAATGCATAAAAAGATTTAAAAATGTTGTTTTTATATGAAACTTTTTAAAAATATATTCGAAATAGTTTTATTTTTTAAATATTTTGAAATAAATTTAGAATCAGAAACTCAAAACTCACTGATAAAGTTCAAGGATCTAATTTTTCCAATTTTTTATCAGTTTTGAGTGCTGTGAACTTGTTTATTTTTTCTACGAAAAGGTTATTGTTTTTGAAGTATTGAGACAAAAATGAAGTTTGTAAATGTTTCACGTGGTATTTTATTGAAATTTCATTGTCAGTGCAGAAGTTATTCAAAAAAAATTACATTTGAGATTACTAAATTATAGTTGTGATTTAAAAGATTTTAATTGGATTTTTTTGACCCCTTTTTTGTTATATCAATTAAAAGTCTTAAAATATAGCTTAGAAATAAAAAAATGCAAGAGTGACAAATTTTTGGTTCAATTTATTGCAATAAAAATTAATCTTTACAAAGCAAAAGTCATGATTTTAAATATATAATATGTAAAACAATGTTGTTTTCTTTTTTCATGTCACTCGACTAGAATTTTGTTTGAAATATAGAGTGAAAAATAATTCTTGGTGGTTTAAAAAAATAAAAAAAGTTCCATTTAATTTTCATAAAACATTTCAAAAATTCCAAATAAATCCAGCTTCAAATCTAACAAATTCCACAGAAATTTTCTCCACACACACAGAAAATGTTAAAAAAATTCAAATTTAACAATTTAAATTTTTAATGAAGAATAAATCGAAATGAATATCCAAGTTGAAATTTAAAGCTATCGATTTATAATTCAAAAGTTGATCAATAATTGATTACTTTTTGAGGGGTTGAAATCTAAAATAAAGTTTTGGAAGAGACAAATTTCCTGACAAAAATAAATATATTTTAAATTCTTTAACAAAATAAACTTTAATGCAGGAAATTATGAAAATATAAAGAGGAAAAAGGAGGCTTGTTTTGTTGTGTGACGAAAGGCAATTTGTTGATTGTTTGGGGTGGAATTTACTTTTTTTTGATGGCAATTTGGAAACATTTTTCAAGGTTTCCAATTGTGACAATGTTAAAATTTTGATGAGAATTAAATCCACGTGGATGATGAGTTTAAATTCTGAATAAATGTTTGAAAATTTTTCATACTGGATTCTTGATTTATTATGGAAGAACCAAGAAAGAACCTTGAATAACAGATGGTCGAGCTCACTTTTCGTAACCAATCGAAAAAATGAAAAGTGTCAAATTTTCATTAAATTAAAAAAATAATTAAATTGTTCTGCAGATTTTAACAATTCAAAAATCTTTCAAAAGATTTTTGTTGATTCAATCTTAAATTTACATTTAATGTTGTCCCATTGACACGAAAATCTGAACTGACCATTTCTGAAGCATCTGTTATTGCTTACTTTTTATGCTTTTCAGGTCCAAATCAAACAAATTTTTATTGAATTGCTACAAATTGTAATAAAATTCAATTCAAAACTCATTCATATGCTCAGGTATGAAATTGATTTCCATGGGGGTTGTTTATAAATGACGTCGATCAAAAAAAAAAGATTTTTAAACTTCTTTATACAAGTTTTCTATGAAGAAATCTTAACAAAGCTCCAGATTCTCCCCCATTTATTGTTTGACGTCATTTATGAACAGCCCCATACCCCATTTTCAATTTGAATTTTTTTTTGTTAAACGGAACAAGCCCTATGAAATTTTAATAAAACAATCAATAAATAAATAAACTTTTATGTATTCAATTTTTCCATTAATATTTCCATTCCTCGTCGCTTTCACGTATAGTCAGTGAAACATGAGACCGTAAAACAATGGCAAAAGAGTAAACTCATCTTTAATTCAAAAGTCAATAAAAGTGAATAATAAAAAATTAATAAAAGTGCTCATCTTTTTATTTTGTTTGGTTCATTTCAGTTCCTTGGCACAAGTCGACAGAAACTATATAAATTGTGATTCTCGCGGAAATCATAAAAAATTTTATTAATAATCTTACCTCCCTTTAATGTAACTTAGTCAGTGTATATGCAAAGTGAACTTTTTTATGGTCTGGTTTGAAGTCACAAGAAGAACAGAAAAAAAAATCATAAAAATTGGTTAAAGTCCCATAAAATAAAGTTTTTTCTTCTATTTAAACTTCAACCCTTTTCTGTTTTCACCGCTAAAATACATGAATGAAACAAAAAAAGTGAAGTGAATACTGGAAAAATTATTCAAATTAAACTGCCTGAATGTGTAAATTCGTAGAGAATGTGAGTGGAGGCAGACAAAAGTTCTTATAAAATTTATGTGAAAGTGAATCTTGAGCGTTATCCACCTTTAACCCTCCAAAGATAACAGTAAGGAGGTTGAATGAGAAAATTTATTGGTGTATATTAAATGTGTGTGTGTGTATCGATGTCTCTTTATAATACAACTATGAATAGGAAAGGGACATAAACAGAGTTAAAAAAAAGCTGTAAATTTGCATAGACATTAATATATAATTTAAAGGACAAATTATACCCTTTTACTGTGAAGAAGCAGAAGCGGAACTTTTTTTTCCTTTTACACAAAATACTCTCGTTGAGAAATTCAAAGGAAAATAAGACAGGTAAGAATTTCCGCATCATAAAACTGTTGTTTTATAAATTGGATTTTAAGTATGGGCATTTTGTCTTTAGTTTTTTGGGATTTGAGAAAGTTTTGAATGATTTATTGAGGAATTTTTGGATGCAGTTGAGTGAGTACGAAGAGGGTTGGGATGTAAAAAGTTTTTCAATGAAATCAATAATTTTAAATAAAGAAATTCTAAACAATTATTATAGTGTGTCATGAAATTTCAGTCTCGTTTTGTGAAAAGTACAAGAATAATTTGTGGTGAAGTTTTTAAAATTAAGCTGGAATATCTTTATAGTTGTGAGCAATTGCACATGATTAAGTAACATGGTAAGCTTCAAATTTATTATCTTAATCAATTTAGAGGTTTCTGATTCTTATTCCCTTCAGTCTTAAGATTTATTGATTACAAAATCTTTTAAACATTGTCATCAATGACAAGAATCCTTAGATTTGACATGTTTTTGGATCTTTATAGTCAAAGTCATTCTTTGAGCATTTTGAGAATCAGTTTTAGATTTTTATTAAGTTTGAGCATTTTTCAAGTTAAGAAGATTTATGAATTTTGTTCGTTTT